GAAAATATTTTCCTTTGCTTCTGGGTTTTATGCCAATGATCCAAGTATATATATATTTATGATGAAGAAAGGTGCATCTAGCAAAGTGGTTTTTTTTATGCCCCCAGGGTCAAAGGGGGGGGGGGTTACATAGTCTGAAAATAAATTAATGCTTTGATTACATTTGCAAAATTTTGAAATATGTGGCCCGGGCCATGGGTCAGTGGGTGAGGTGCACAACTGGTTATAAAGTGGAAGTGCATTTTCTCTTTGTTACTCTGATCTATCTCTGGGTATTAAGTAAATAGAGTAAGCATGCTAAGTTAATAATTATGATAAGCAATGGCGCCTCTTTCAAAATTGTAAATTGTGAATTTCATGGCCTCCGGTTTAAAACATGAACCAAATATAATTGTTTGAAAGTTGTTGCACAATACTCAGGTGACCTATAAGGCCCGTGGGCCTCTTGTTAATGTATGTTTTCTCATTTAAGTTATAGGAGAAAAATAATTATTCTCTATAGTCTTAAAATTTTGGTGAACAGCAAATCTATATTTCTAGGTAAAATAAACACGCATATGATAAAGTTTTCATTTACTAGACACTGACTAATAAAATTGGCAAAAAATCTTATATTTCTCAGGTACCAATGCATCAGGTCAACCACTGCCACATTGATCAATTTTATTGGCATACTAGTATTGAAAAAGAAACAGACTTAATTTTCTGTTTTCGAGACTTAAAACATGGGTCTTGTCCCTATTTATATATGCGAAAAGAAACGCGGGTTAATTACATAAAGTATATATTTGTTTTTGAAAAATTTATTAATTATCTTTGAAGAAAAATGATTGTTATATAATTCTTTTTTAAGTTAAGTACATTGTAAAGTAATTTTTTTTAATCAGTTGATACCATCCGTTCGATCTATTGACTGAAAATTAAGAACAAAGAGATGGCACCTGCTTAAAAAAGACTTGTCAGCGGCATTGAATTGTCTTCAGCTCGAAAAATTAAAATAAAAATGCGTGAAAGGCAGAATACAGTTTCTCATGCCAGCTTAGCCCAAATTCTTTTCAAAGAGAAAACTCTTATTGATGTTAAAGCATTCCTTTAAATAGAATGTTCGTCAATTTCAGCAGCAGCAGCAGATCCTTATATTACACCTAGTGGCATGGCGGGGATCGGAAATGAGTGTTATTTGGAGGTCCGCGACATGGAAAGATCTAACTCAAATAACGAGATAGATTGTACGGGATATAACTTTTACCAATAAACTTGATTGATTGTTTCAGATTTTATATATACCGAAAATCGATTCCTTATTATGTTCTACATATGTAGCTTTTGAATACCTAATTTTTTTTTCCATTTTATTTTTTTTGAACAACCCAATGCTAAATATACGTCATGCATAAATTGCATCATTTTTTTTCATGTATGGCCACTGTACATTTTAAACAATTATTATCATTCTCATTTGAAATTATATATTGTATAATACACTTGAAATTATTTTTTAAAGTGCAAAATGGTATAATGTAACTCATCTTTTACAATACATAGAAACCCCAAAGACATCACTAACTAATTATAGAAAACACTGATCATGTTGATTTCTTTTTTTAAATTAATGAAATGTTTTGAACATTTGGAAATTTGTACTTTTTAGCTCACCTGAGCCAAAGGCTCAAGTGAGCTTTTCTGATCACAATCTGTCCGTTGTCTGTCGTCGTCGTCGTTGTTGTCGTTGTTGTCGTCGTTGTCGTCGTCGTCGTCGTAAACTTTTCACATTTTCATCTTCTTCTCAAGAACCACTGGGCCAATTTCAACCAAACTTGGCACAAAGTATCCTTGGGTAAAGGGGATTCAAGTTTGTTCAAATGAAGGGCCACACCCTTTTCCAAGGGGAGATAATCATGAATTAGAGAAAAATTAATGGCATTTTTAAAAAATCTTCTTCTCCAGAACCGCTGGGCCAGGAAAGATGAAACTCCTGTGGAAGCATCCTCAGGTAGCGTAGATTCAAGTTTGTTCAAATCATGACCCCCGGGGCAAGGGTGGGGCCAAAATGGCCGACCCAAGTTTTACATAGGAATATATTGGAAAAATCTTTAAAAATCTTCTTCTCCAGAACCACTGGGCAACCACTTTTTGAAATCATGACCCCCGGGCAAGGGGCCGACCCAAGTTTTACATAGGAATATATAGGAAAAATCTTTAAAATCTTCTTCTCCAGAACCACTGGGCCAGGAGAAACTCATGTGGAATCATCCTCAGGTAGTGTAGATTCAAGTTTGTTCAAATCATGACCCCCGGGGCAAGGGTGGGGCCAAAATGGCCGACCCAAGTTTTACATAGGAATATATAGGAAAAATCTTTAAAAATCTTCTTCTCAAGAACCACTGGGCCAGGAAAGATGAAACTCATGTGGAATCATCCTGAGGTAGTGTAGATTCAAATTTGTTCAAATGATGACCCCCGGGGCAAGGGTGGGGCCAAAATGGACAACCCTAGTTTTACATAGGAATATATAGGAAAACTCTTCAAAAAATCTTGTTCTCAAGAACCACTGGGCCAGGAAAGATGAAACTCATGTGGAATCATCCTCAGGTAGTGTAGGTTCAAGTTTGTTCAAATGATGACCCCTGGGGCAAGGGTGGGGCCAAAATGGCCGACCCAAGTTTTACATAGGAATATAGAGGAAAAATCTTTAAAAATCTTCTTCTCCAGAACCACTGGGCCAGGAAAGATGAAACTCATGTGGAATCATCCTCAGGTAGTGTAAATTCAAGTTTGTTCAAATCATGAGCCCCGGGGCTAGGGCGGGGCCAAAATGGCCGACCCAAGTTTTATATAGGAATATATAGGAAAAATCTTTAAAAATCTTCTTCCCAAGAACCACTGGGTTAGGAAAGGTAAAACTCATGTGGAATCATCCTCAGGTAGTGTAGACTCAAGTTTGTTCAAATCTTGACCCCCAGGCTAGGGTGGGGCCACAATGGCCGACCCAAGTTTTACAAAGGAATAAATAGGAAAAATCTTTAAAAATCTTCTTCTCAAGAACCACTGGGCCAGGAAAGATAAAACTCATGTGGAATCATCCTGAGGTAGTGTAGATTCACGTTTGTTCAAATCATGACCCCCGGGGCTAGGGCGGGGCCGAAATGGCCGACCCAAGTTTTACACAGGAAGATATAGGAAAAATCTTTAAAAATCTTCTTCTCAAGAACCATTGAGACAGGAAAGATAAAACTCATGTGAAATTATCCTCAGGTAGTGTAGATTCAGGTTTGTTCAAATCATGACCCCTGGCTCTAGGGCGGGGCCAAAATGGCCGACCCAAGTTTTACATAGGGATATATTGGGAAACCAATATATTTAAAATCTTCTTTTCAAGTACTTCAAAGCCATGATTAGTGATATTTATATGGAATCATCCTAAGGTAGTGTAGATTCTAGTTCAAATCATGAACCCCTGTTGGGTTAAAATTCAAGCCCCCCCCCTCCCCCCACCATCACCTCAGTAAACTTTCAGTTCTGATCTGATATGTTCCTAGCCGATGTGCTCAGGTGAGCGCTGTGGCCCCTGGGCCTCTTGTTTAAATGTTGTGTTTTCCAGTTTAAGATTCGTATTAATAAATAATTTGGCTTTCTGATGTGATTGACAGGTTTTTTTTTTAAATAAATGAGAATGGAACTCATCAAACTACTTCATTTATCCTCGTTTATATGTAAAATACTTTCAAAATACATTGATTTGAACAGCAGGCAAAAATGCCCATGATCGTTGTTTCCGTAAAAAGACCTCGTGTAATATAACAACAAAACCTTATTATTAACTCGATAATTTAAACTTTCCTATCGTCAGCTTTCCTTATCTATGTATAAATTTAATGATAATTATCGCCTGTACATGATTATGCACCAGTTGATTGAAAAGTAGAAAGCTCTAATTACTAATACTTAGGACGACAACTACACAAAGAAGTTGATGAAACAAACATACCAACACTCTCATTTAAAGTCAACATTTTGCAATTTCAATGGTCGATACAATGTCCTTGTCAGCAAATACAGTCTTAAAAATTAAGTCGATTGTTGACCGACATCATTCGTACAAATTGTTAGGCTTTATTCATCTCACTGGTTTTTTTTTTCTTTTTGTCCGATCATGACAAGGAGCACACGGTGAGTGTGACCGGTGGACACAGGATGCTTGCTCCTCCATGACATCTGATCCAACCTCGGATGTCTTTAGATGCCTCTGTCTGTTCTGTTTTGTATTGTTTTCATTTATTGTTCGTCATCATCGTATTTCAATGATAACTGATATAGAAATAAAAAAAAATATGATCTCTCTCTTTTTATTTATTACATGTGTAGTAGGGGAATTAACAATACAGTTATTGCAACAAAAAATAAATTTTGAAAAATACGCGGGTTATGTAATTGTTGCAACAGCTGCAAAGTTATTAATTACTTGCAATGAAAGAATGCATTTTATTATCTAAATAAGCTTCAAAATAAGAAACATGATCACAGAATAATGATTTATTAGCTTGGATGTCAATTTTTAAAACTGTTTTTATTACTAATATACATTAAGGGAATTCTCCTATTTTCAAATTTGTATCTTCAAGAAAAATATACCTAAAGGAGAAATCCTTTAATGTATATAAGTAAACCTTTTCTGTGCGGTAGTAATAAAACAGAAAACGACGGAATTTATATCATATTTATATCCACGTTTCATGTTCCAATATTCCAGACCACTACCAATGATTTACAATTGAAACGATTATAACTATTATCTTATTCTCCTAAAATTTGGATAAACAAGATATCCAGAGCGATCCACATCGATAAGCTTCTTTGAGGTTTAATTCAGTTTTTTTTTTAAATCTTAAAATGTTCATTTATGCACGACGACATATTTCGAGAATGCTGGCTAAGGTACATGTATTAAAGAAACAGAGGAACGGTGAACGGTGAACGCTTTACGGGTTTTAAATATTTTCCTTGCGACATCCATAAGATGATCTGATTTGGGTGAGGCATCGTCTTTTTTGTTCCGGGGGAGGAGAAAGGGAAATATCAGAATTCTCAAATTGGGCAATTTTTCCGACCAGATAATCAGAAGAAACGTAAATGGACTGGAGGTAAGAGTCTTCAAGGATAAATTACATTTTCGTGTGTTATCATAAAATATAGTAGTAAAATAACGATAATAAATGATATAACAAAAACCATTTATATGTTAGAGACTCATTAATATCCCTGGTGATGGATGTTTTTATTTTTATTTTTGAATAATGAAGAATGGATAAAATACATGTATGTGCGATTCAAACTTAAGAAGGATTGAGAAAGTAACGCACGAAAGATCTTGATGTCTATTCAGTAAGAAATTTCACTTCCTGGTTTCGATTTTTGCTCTGGGTTCTCGTGTTTTTGAATGACAATTAAATTTCTTTCAATTCACGTTTTCAATGATGCAAAAAATGTGGTGTCATTAGTCTAACATTTTTATACGAAGAATATTTAAAAAATGTCATTTCAAACACATAATACAGTCCTTAATTTATCATGATAATTTATTGCTGTTTCAGAGTAATACCTTTGGTTATTGTGAACGTGATGTTGAGCTCTGCGACCTTGACCCCGGTAATATCAGTATCAGGTGACGTTTACTTGGCGGGAATATTTACCATAAAATCCTCAACATTTGAACATGAATGCAATGGTCCAGTGTCTACCTCCTCAGTAATGGGACTTGGAGCAGTCAAGTGGGCAGTTCGTCGACTTAACCAAAACAATTTCATTCCTGGGGTTCAATTGGGTAAGTTGGTCAATGCGTAATCTTTTACACCTGAAGTTTCTATAAGTGACCTTGAATGAAACAAAAATGCCAGAGATACTTCCCTTTTATTAAAAAAAATAGATAGGTCAGGGTCTAGTTTAAAATGGAATTTTATTAACTTTTCATACTGGATGAATTCTGAAGGCAGAAGTAAATTTATTATTGTAAAATGACACTGGGTTTCTATGATGAAAGAAGTTAATTGTTCAATATAAATATTCGAAGCGTTGTATAGGAATACATGGGGATTCTCTTAACCATCTTGTAGCAATAAGTAAACATCTTTTAAGGGTCAATTCGTTTGTTGTTCTTTTCAAAATATGCACCTATGCTTATGTTGGGCCTCAATAGGGGTTTTAAATTTGAATCAATGTATTTGTATATTGGATTTTCAATTCTTGAGTAGAAAATAAGGATAATTGCCCGGTTCTTTTATGGGTTCTCTTTAATTTAGCTTCTCTTATTTCTTGGATTGGACTCCCAAATTTTGATTTTTATATTCATGAAATTGGAAAGAAAATCTGAATGTTAATATAAAATGTAAACATTAAAAACGTTTATATGTTTATAACTGGCTTTCCTTTGAATGAAGGATATGGACATAACGAACAGTATTCAATATCACTTAAAATGACGAAACCGTAGCTCTAATGGTTTATACTTATAACAAAGGAAGAGAAAGGTAGCATATGAACTTGAAACTTTGCAACAGCAATACATTAAAAAATTATTATTGGTTTAGTCTTTTTCTTGGCAAGATTTATTGTAATCAGACCAAAACTGGAGGAGTAGCATTTTAAAAATATTTCAAAGAAATATCTGTTTTTAATAACCATAGCAACACCTTTCATCGAAATCAAAAACCGATAAACATAATTATTTATCTTAGTCAATAGTGTAGTCTACTTGTGAGCCAAGTTATATTGAAATCAGACTAAAACTGTAAGAGGAGTAGCATTTTGAAAATATTTCAAAAAAAATTCTATTTTAAGTAACCATGGCAACACTGTTCACCGAAATCAAAAACAAATCAACAGAATTATGTATCTTAGTATAATCTACTAGTATTCCAAGTAATATTGATATCAGACTAAAACTTTAACAGGAGTAGCATTTTGAAAATATTTGAAATTCAAAGAAATTTCTCTTTTTAGTAATCATGGCAACACCGTTCATCGAAATCTAAAACCGATATACAGATTATCTCAGTGTAGTCTGTTTGTGTGCAAAGTAATATTGAAATCAGACCAAAACTGTAGAAGGAGTAGCATTTTGAAAAATTGTTTACAGACAGACGGACAGACGACGGATACCTTACTATCGCATAAGCTCTTCTGGCCTTCGACCAGTAGAGCTAAAATCTGTAATTTATTATGAAAATATTTTGTTTGTCACAGGTTTGATTGCCTATCCCACTTGTCTATCTGAAGAGTTGGCCGGATATAGAGCAGTGGAAATTTCCACAGCAATCAAGGAAAAGTCAGAAAACATCATGGGTAGGAGCACATAGTAAAACATGTTTACCTTGAGTGTTAGAATGTCATGGTTTATACTGGGTCATATTTTATTTCAAGTGTACAATTTATTGACTGTTAAGTGTCTAATTTATCCTTTTCTAAATATTAGCACATAGATTACAGTTTAGAATGAGAAACAGGAATTTCCTTCGAAATACCCCTTTTAAATGATGATATGGATACGAAAATACAGAAATGAGTGTAAACAAACAAAAAATGCTGACATTCTTGCGAGATGTTTCGAAATCTATTTATATAAATTATATCATTTCTTTAAAATCTTCGAATTTGACCGCAATATATATGAAGAAAATGAACATTAAACTCGCTGATGAAAGATTTTTGTAAAACCCGTGTTACCCAACTTAAATTCAGGGATATTACACATACATTTGGATCCAAGTTAAACATATAAAAAAATAATTTAGTTTAGCAATTTATTCCTTCATTTGACGAATTCATTTTTTGCAGGAATCGTCGGAGCGGAGAGGAGTTCCGATTCCGAATCAATGTCAACAGTTCTCGCGAGACTTCCTCGTTCCATTGCGCCACCTATGATCTCATATTCTTCTACCTCTGTGTCGCTTAGTGATAAGTCGACGTTTCCCAACTTCTTCAGGACAATTTATTCAGATAAAATACAAGTCAAGGTTAGCGTTAAAATAAGAGTGTCACTTATCTGTAGTTTTAGTTATTCATTAATATAAAAAATACAACAATAAGCTATTTTTCTTTTTATTAAATTGTCTTTAAATTTAAGGGCAAATAACAGAAAACGTGTTTTCTACCAGTTTGCATTATGCATATAAGCTTAAGTCATACATAGAATTCTTACGACCATTTTTTAAGATAAGGATAGATGGAAAGATATGCTTATTTGATTTTACAGCCCTTTGCATATTTAACTGCTGCCCATTGCATATTATTTTCTTTGACAGGTTATAATCACTCTAATGTTGGAATTACATTGGAACTACATATCTATTGTGCACGAGAACAACGCATACGGTCGACATGGTGCTGAAGCATTGAGAACACAACTCCTTAATCACGGAATTTGCATTCGCACCGTTAATGGTTTCAATACTACATACGGAGTTCAAATATCAGTTCTTAGTCAAATAATTTCAGATGTCACCTTACCAAAAGGTGGCGCAGTCAGCGGAATAGTTTTCTTTGGAGGACAGTCGTCTGCTGAGAAATTGTTGACGGCCATGAAGGACATTAATCTCGGAGAAGACACACCATCAATCATTTTTTCAGAAGGTGTTGGAATGTCTAAAGAGGTGTTTAAAGCAGAGACTATTGCGGCATCAAGAGGAAATCTTGTAGTTAGCCCTAAATATCAACCGGTGGATAGTTTCCTGGAACACTGGAAAGCTATTTTTACGAATAAAACATTGCTATTATACGAAATACAAACCAATCCTTGGTTAAAGGATGTTTTCTTGATGTAAAAGGGTGTTCTCACGAAGATTTGACTTGTATCGAACCAACAGAACAAGAAATAGATGATTTTATTTCAAAGAATATCTATATCAAGTTTGCTGTGGATGCAGTATCTATGTTTGCAAAAGCTTTAAAAAATTCAAAGAATGAAGTTTGCAAGAACGAATCCTGCTCTCTCTTCTTGAAGATGGAATAGAA